ACATATCCCCCCCATATACATCATGTAGAAGAGTAAAACTATTTTGAGCTGTTATACAATCTCCTCTATATACAATGCTTAAAAAATTGTAAGTATGTCAAAAATTATTTCTTGAAATCAAATTAAAATATGTTATAGTAAGTGTTGGATTTTAGTATATAGTTTGTTTTTTGTCTATAACTTGTCAAAATAATATGAAAGATTTTGTGTGCAGCCCTCTACATCTCATCAAAACCCATTAAGTGGCCTGCCAGCCAAAATAATGGTCCACCCAATTTTTAACTCTAGCCCAGAAGTTCCCAAACTGTGGGTTGTGACTCCAAATGGGGTCACAACATCAGCAGATGGGGTTGCAAGGTTGGGGGGCTGTAGGTTGGGAGTGAGCTATTTGAGCACTCCTGGTGCTCCGGTCAGGTCCCAGGGGACTGGAAAGCGGCTAATGTGGTCCCTATTTTCAAGAAGGGGAGGAGGGAGGAACTGGGAAACTATAGGCCAGTTAGTCTCACCCCTATGCTTGGGAAAACTGGAAAAAATCATTAAGGATTACATTTGTGGGAGCTCAGCAGGGGAAATAATGCTGAAAGAAAATCAGCATGGATTCACTGCAGGTAGATCTTGCCTGACTAATCTTGTTTCTTTTTATGACCAGGTCACAAAATGCTTAGACACAGTAGTTGAGCTGTGTCATCTACCTCGATTTTAAAAAGGCCTTCAATACAGTATCTCATTCTGTTCTCATAAATAAACTGACAGGCTGTGATGTAGATGATTACACATTGTGTGGGTGGGTCAGGTGGGTGGCACACCCAAACAGTGGTGGTGGACGGGTTGATATCGACTTGGAAAGATGTGGGCAGTGGAGTCCTGCAAGGCTCAGTTCTTGGACTGGTGCTAGTCAATGTCTTCATCAGTGACTTGGACGAGGGCATGGAGTGCACCCTCTCCAAGTTTGCAGATGATACCAAGGTATGGGTATACCAAGTTAACACACCAGAGGGTAGGAAATGGATCCAGGCAGATCTGGACAGGTTGGAAAAATGGGCAGAACAAAATAGGATGCAGTTCAACAAAGACGAGTGCAAAGTGCTGCTCTTGGGCAAAAAGAACTATCAACACACTTGCAGGCTGGGGGATGATCTCAACAGCACAGCAGCTGAAAGAAATCTTGGAGTCATAGTTGACTCCAAAATAAATATGAGTCGTCAGTGTGATGAAGTGATCAACAAGGCTAACCTCACTTTATCATGTATTAGCAGATGCATGATGAACACTGTCCAGGGAGGTGATGCTTCCCCTCTATGCGGCACTGGTTAGGCTGCAGTTGGAGTACAGCATCCAGTTTTGGGCACCGCACTTGAAGAGGGGTATGGAAAATCTTGAGAGGGTTCAGAGGAGGGCCAGTTGTATGGTCAGGGGCCTGCAGGCAAGGCCCCACAAAGAGAGACTGAGGGACCTAGATCTCTTCAGTCTTTGCAAGAGAAGGCTGAGAGGTGATCTTGTGGCTGCTTATTAATTCATCAGGGGTGGGCAGCAGAGAATAGGAGATGCTCAATTTACTAGGGCACCCCCTAGAGTAACTAGGAACAATGGCCACAAATTGACAGAGAGCAGATTTAGGTTGGACATTAGAAATAACTTCTTCACAGTAAGGGTTGCCAGAATCTGGAATGGGCTTCCAAGGGAGGTAATGCTCTCCCCTACCTTGGGGGTCTTCAAGAGGAGATTGGGCAAGCACCTAGCTGGGGTCGTCTGACCCCAGCGCTCTTTCCTGCCCATGGCAGGGGGTCAGACTCGGTGACCTACTGAGGTCCCTTCCTATCCTTGCATCTATGAATCTATGAGGAGTCCTGCTGAAGGAGTAGGGTCATACTGAGGAAATGGGGCCATAAATAGGGTCATGCTGAGGAAAAGCTTGGGAAGCACTGTTCTCGCTGCTGGTGCAGGTACAGCATGCTTGGAACTTAGAATGGGAATTGGATGGTTAGAACCTATTTGCTTCTCATGGGCAATTGGTGCCGCCTTAGTCGGGGGGGGCATGTGTCCCCCCGAGTAACCAGTCAGTGACTGGGGGAGGACCCCCCCACAGCCAATCCTGCTGACTGGGGGGGGCGGAGTCCCCCTGTGGCCAATTGTGAGACAGCCGATCGCTGTGGCCGATCACTGCAGCCGCTTCCAGAAGTGGCCACAACTGCTTCTTGGACCACTCCCCGGCCAGCACTTGCAGGAGTGCCACCGGTGCTCCCACCTGCTCCTCACCCATCACCTAAGCAGTGAGCACGGCCGGTCAAGGGGTGTACTGGTGCTGTCAGGGGGTGCACGTGCACCCCCTATGTGTCACCGCTGTTGCTTCTGATCTCCGTTTGGAGGCATGTGTGAGCTCTAGTTTGATCTAAATCACGCAAGCTATCTGTTACATTTGACAGTAATAGGCACTCATGGGAAACAGCCTGTTCCTCCTCTGTCTTGCTAGTGGTAGTGTCAGGAAAACGAGAGAAAGTCTGTTCCATCACTTCCTGGGCCGTATCTTTCCCATGGAATACTGAAAGGTTCATTCCTAATGGCCACCAAATTTGACAAATGCAAAAATCAAGGAACAAAACACTTTAATAACACATTATGCTTTAGACAATATTTTCTTTGGTAACCAAAATAGGATGACGGTTGTTGGTATCATAGATCAATAGCTGTGGTACTATACGCTTGTGACAGGGAACATTTTTATTGACTACTGTGCATGCAGACTTTGTCAGATGCTGTTTTGGCATGATCTGGATAACTGCCAAATGCAGTATATCTTCTTGAACATATGAAGGAACTGTTCCCTATAGTAAGTACTATTCGACTATAATAAGCATTTGCAGGATTTGGTCTTAGAAGTTATTTTGGGCCCAGTTTATCAGAGCTTAAAATTCAACATGCAAGTACTTGCTTGAAGTCAATGAGACATCTAATATGCTTAAGATAAGTATGTATTTAAGTGCTTTGCTAAGCAGTCTAATGTGTGGCTAGCTAGAAAGCTTAAGATTAAGTGCTTTGATAAAGTCGAGATTGATAATGTTTTTGGGAAGGGATTGTTATACAGTGCCTGGACTGGGCTGAGTTCTCTAGGCATTACCATGATATAATCATTTAATAGTAATAAAAGTTGATATGCTGAGATGTTATTTCTCTCCTTGTAGGAAGAACTCAAAAGGCTGCAGCATACCTTGGAACAAGTTAATGATGGCAAATATTTACTTGAAAGGTAAGGATGGAAAAGTTTGGAGCGATTTCCATATCACTGCACATGTGATAACAGGAAATTGCCTGGATATTGACAACAGATATATTTTTGTCTAGTACAACTGGGACTGTACAGCTTGATAGTGGCTAATTTGAGTGTACATGCCATAGCTAGTACCTGGATTGACTGAATCCTGGGAGCTGGTGTTTTGGCTGTAATTTATAGAACGACAAATACAAAAACGTATATGAGGAAGACGATATAGTCTCATGCTTTAACAGATTCCTTAAGCAATAGCAAGTGCTTCAAAATGTACACTGTTTTATTTTAATCTGTATTTTCTACTTTATGTGGAGTCATTCTTTTTTTCTTGTCCAAGTTCTATTTTTTACTAAGTAATAGGTTGAAGGTTTTTCTTACACCTCTTCCATAAAAGTGATTCTTATTTATCATTACGAGAGAATAACTTCTGAAAACTTCTGCTGTTCAAATGAAGTAAGGTCTCAAAATAATAACTCAACAGATTGGAGGACAAATCTTGGAAAATTTCTGACCAGAGTCTGTACACATGCATCTAGTTTCATGCAAACCTATGACCCATTAGATGACTTTACCTCTCTTGTGAATATCTTCAGTTTTTTCTTTTTGTGTTTGCAGATGGTCTTATTAAAATGATCATGCTATATAGCTTGCTTTGATGGCCATCTTCTTTTTGCAAAGAGTCTCTTTTTCATGTTTCTGTCTGTCTTCTACCAATGTGATTAACTTGCCATTCGGTATTTTCATTTTACACTTCAGCTTTTCAAAAGTTAGTCTCTGGAATAAAAATTAAATTAGCAGGAATATAGATTATAATTGCTGTAGTGTTTTATTGGCAATAGGTCCTTTTCTGGGTGTGTCTGTCTGTTGTAGTAACATCTAAAATGAAAAGACCTAGTGTTGAAGTCCATATGGAACTCATTGTAGGGTTGGGACTGATTTGAAATTCTAATTCTAATTCTTGCTTTAGTTAATATTTTAAGTGAGGTTGGAGACCAGGGCATTTACCCCCTAGACAGCAACATGTTTAAATAAGCAGCTGTAGTTCACACTTGTCACAATTTCTAAATTAATATAAAGTCAGAGTTACTGTAAAAATGGTATGCTGAAATAGTTTAAAACATATTATTTCTTTTTGTGTAGCCATCATCTTGCCATGGACGTAGAGAATAACATTGAAAAATACCATGACAACTTACAGCCTCTGGAAACAAAAGTGAAAATGTAAGTCATATAAAATGTTATATATTTAAACACAGGTGAGGCCATGGAGTCAAATTTCTGTGGTGTTAGTTTTGGATTTTCAAGAAATTGAAAATTGACTGAAGGGTCCTAACTGTATGCTTACTTATTTTACTGAGGTCTGTCTTTAAACAAGTAGTTCCACTGAGTCGTGGCTTTTACACTGTACTTGTTTCAGTTGCACCAATATTTGGGTTTTCTTCTTCATAAAATTAAGAAAATATTTTAGAACCCGACCATTTAGCATATTTAAAAAATGCTGACATTCTAGAAAAGTAAGGAAAACATGGGAATGGCAGAAGCCCTTTGGATCTTTTTATTTTGTTTTGTTTTGTTTTTAAATACACTGTAGAAAAAATGAGTGGTTACCTTAATGTTGCCTCAAGTAACCTCAATGAACACCTTATGTGAATGTATGAGTTACTGTGCATTTACATAAAGAACTTTATTCATTATTACATTCTGTATTGAATTTCACTTTCTGTAGGCAAGGTACAGCTCATGTGTTTTATAGAATATTGAAATATTAATGTATTAAAATATTAAAGGCCATGAAATTTCAGATTAAAATCTAGTAGGTGTCTCTTAATGATACAAATATTGGTTAGATGGATCAATACATTTCCAAGTGTTTTCTGGAAGGTATGTATTTTTTAAACCTTATTCACTATGATTTAAAAAAGGGGAAGTGCATGTAAATGCATTTTCTTGTTAAAAAAATAAAATTCATAAAAATGCATGAGTAATATGAATAAGATATAAATGTTTCATGTGAAGTTATGACTTCTAAATAATAATTTTTAATAAGGCATTTATTGAAATCTTCTTGAATAACATTCAGATTTGAAAGTATTTGAATCATTTTATGAGTGCTAGAGTTTTTAAACTTCAAACCAATTATACTTTTCTCTCTAATGCCAAAGCATTTAGAAACTACGGGTGCCAAAATGGGCAGTATGTTTTGGCCTGACCTAGGGCTGAAATTTCCACTGACTTGGCACAAAGGACTGAAAGGGGCTTCCTGGGCCATCAGTTCCAGTCCCTTTTATTTGCAGGCAGCCATTTACCCAAGGAATTTGCAAAATTCCCATTTGAAATCCTCACTTACAACTACAAGGAACAATACCTGAACATTATGTATATATAACATGCCGCAGGTAAAAGCAGAAGAGACAAAAAACTGCCAGTGTATTGCTGCTGCAATACCATCACAGTTTCATGGAATTAATTGATTAATTAATGCTCAGAAGATTCTAGGAAAAGGATCATTCCCTGTGATACTGCCCATCCCGCCTGCCCAAACTCCCCACCATACTTTTTACCAAACTGACCTAGAAGAAAAACTCTATCCTGACTCCAAATTTGTCTATCAATATGACCCTGAGTAGAAGGGCAGGAACTTTCAGTCAAGAATCTCTGGGTTGTCTAACTACTGGTGGAAGTACTTCATTGTACCTCCGCCAGAGTCCCTAAGCTGCAGGGACGTGCAAAATAGAAACCCAGAAGCCAGTACTGTTAATGGCGGGGAAGGGGAAATTTTCCTTTCTGGCACTTACTGGTGGTTACCAGGCACCTGTCACACTTGACTTCACTGGGCGTTGGATCAGAAGTTAATCCCCTGGTTCATAGGGCTGTGCGAAGCTTTGGTCCCTGATTCTGTTCGGAATCTGAATTGAATGAGAAGACCCTTTAACTTTTCTGAATCTAATCAGAACCCTCTGAATCAATTCAGGAAGATTCAGAGATTTGGACGTAGACACAACTTTAAATGTTTTGTCTACATACCTCTAGGTAGCAGGTGGCTCATGAATGCTGCGATGCTGGGGCTCATGGAGTGTCCCACAGAAGCATGGGGGGCTCGCCAGCACGCTCAGCAGCAGACCTGGAAGTGGACCAGAAGCATTTCCGGTCCACTTCTGAGTCCGCTGGGAAGCTCACTGGGTGCCCCCCCACTGTACCCGCTTGCCCAGCGACTGGTGCCTCCTGGGTCTGAGGGGGGCACCCAGGGTATTCCATGCTCCAGCTCATTGCCCCTTCCCCCCAGCCTGCTGCTGCTTTCCATGCTTCCCTGCCTGTGGCTTCCCCTGCTCCTCTCCACCCCACACTGGTCACTTTGGCACCACATGGTTCTCAGCTGCAGGCTGAGACTGCAGCAGCTGGCTCGGCCCGACCCTGAGGACTGGGGCGATTGCCCATGGTCCTCTCCTGCCTCCCCCACCTTCTTATCTGTATGTGTCTTCGGCACATGGGGGCAGGAACAGCTTCACAGTCCCAGACCAGAATCCTCTGCTTGGCATGGGGATTCTGGCTTGGCAGGAGGATGGGGCCAGGCCAGCAGGGCCTTGCTTCTGCAGCTGCTTGGTCCTACCGGCAGCTTCTCCTGGGTCCTACTGCCCTGGCTCCTGTCATCTTTGACAGGCAGCCAGGGGCAGATAAATACTAATTTTCTGAATTCTTTAGGGGCACAATGGGCCAGATGAAATGGCCAGCCTGCAGGCTGTATTTTGCTCACCCCCAGTGTAACGGCTAGGATTTTAGCAAGCACTAGCAGTTGAGTCAACCTAGAAGGCTTCTGCAACCCATAGTGCTACTCATGCTACTATGCCTTCAGTAATACTGTTACCCCGGCTAGCTAGAATAAAGCTAGTACTGGTGTGGTACCCACACTATAATCATACTTTCGTACTGATCTGTAAGGGTGAAGTTGCACATTACACTTCGACAGTACTGAATCTGTGGAATGTTAGCTGGTGTTAAAGTTAGAACATGCGTGCAGTTGCATGTCAAGGGTTAATATCATTTCTTGCCTGCACAGCTCTGACTTGCCACTAGAGGGCTGGTGACCAGGGGCTTGGGTAGGAACCAGGACACCTGGACTCTATCCCTGCTGGGGCAGGGAGGCTGGGGGCTGTGTATCTTGGGATGGTGGAGGACTGTAAATTGCTCATTTTATCTTCATAAAGCAGACTGGAGATACCTTAAAGGTAGGTATCACAACCCAGAGTTAACCCTCACCTGAAGTGACCTAACTTGGAGATGCTCAGAGGGCACTTAGCAGTAGTTAACAAGCTTTAATTGGCAGATCCTCCTTAGTATGGACTAAGTCTGATTTGTATGTTCACCTTAAATCTCCAGGAGAGGGCTCTGATTAATATGCAACAGGTAGGGTAGATCTGCATTTTATAGACTAACTAAATCAGAGATGTATAACATAAGCTTTTGTAAGCAAATGCTGTGAAGGGACTGCAGGAAGCAGAGCTGTTAAATAGGAAGCAGTGACTGGAATACAAAGGGGAGAGAAGGGGGAAGAAAAAGGGGAGGGTGCACTGTTGAGATGGACAAGGCGGGCAGGAGAGAGAGAAAAGCAGTTAACCAATTGAGGGACATAGGGTTTATAAAAATTAATCCAGGTAATAGAATAAGAATAGATAGTCCTTTTTAAACCATACTTAAAGTAATCCAGGCTGTGAGTGATTTCTTGTTCTGCTATTCCCTGTGAAGTTTGTTTTTAAAGTTTTGTTCTCTATGAACTGCTGCTCTGAATTATTGCCTGCCCCATTCTCTTAATTCCTATATCCTTTTTTCTGTAAATCTGTGAAGCAATTGGTAGAGAGGAAATGTTTAAACTGTACTAAAGTGTAATCTGGGTGAATATTTTTCCTGTTGAGATTTGGTCAAATAGCAACAAAATAAATAAATAAATGCAAGATTTGATTTAAGTGCCAGCATACAAGTAGTCCCGTTGTCTTCAGTGGAACTCTCACATACTCCAAGTTTAGCATGTGTTTTAGTGCTTTGTTAGATTTGGGGGCTATGTTCAGTTCAGAGTTCAAAGTAAAAAGCATGTGAAAGGAAGAAAACAGGCAACAAGAGAGATTAAGAACTGGTATTAGATTTCCAAAAATTATTAACAATCTTTATTTGCTTACTTTTTATAGTGTAGATTTTTTCTGTTCATTTTCCCCCTTTAAAGTCACCTGTTGGGTGTGGCATGAAGAAGAAATAGGCCTAATGCTTTTGTTCAAAATTGCAACCAAGTTTTCTTGTGCTTTGTTGGCACTAGCACTTGAGAGCTTCTCCAGACATTTCAAAGGAAGTGTGGTCAGAAAGAAAATATCACACACAAGTAGCACTGTTTCTGCTGCTTCTAAAATATATATTTCCTGGAGAAAGTTTTTATCATATTTGTCCCCTAATCAGCACAGTTTCTTGGAGACAATGATTTGTTAGTAACATAATGTCTGTATCTAAGAAATATTTATACCCAGCTCTCTATATCCCATGTGATTTTTGTGGCCAGATTTAGTGTCACAGAATTGTATTCAAACTCTTTGTGTTCAATAGGTTTGGGAGTTCTGGCAGGTCATAAACTCAGCAGGGGTCAGCAGTGTAGTGCTGTTGCAAACAAAGCAGATGCAGTTCTGGGTTGCATTAGGAAAATATTACAATACATGGGAAGTGATAGTACCACTCTAATCCATGTCTCATTTGGCATATTATGTCCAGTTCTGAGCACTGTATTTTAGAAAGGAAGTGGACAAACTGGAGAGAATTTAGAGATGATCAATGAAGATGATCAAAGGGGTTGGAATATAGGCTGTATGAAGCAAGATTGATAGAACTAGGTGTGTTTACTCTTGAGAAAGGGAGACTGAAGGAGCACACAATAGCAGTTTTCAGTTATTTGAAAGGCTACCATAAAGAAGAGAACAACTGTCCTACCTTGTCACAGGGTGCCAGAATAGACTAATTAGCTCTGCAGTAAAGCATCACAGTCTACCCACGTGCCAGTATTAGGTCACAGTCAACTAATAAACTCCACTGTAACATAGTACTGTTGGGACAGGAGTCTAGGGTTGACCCCTGTACTCCCTGCCAACCTAGGCATGCTCCACCCTGGCTCAAATGGTTGTTGTCCCAGGCACATGTGTAGAGACTGTGCCCAGAAGCAGTTTATTTTGGCTTCAACTGCTCCGGAGTGT